GATAGACCAAGCGGGGAAAAAAAAACAGAGTTTGAAGACCACCTTACTAACATAAGACATGCAGACAAGAATAGAGAAAAAAAGAATGAAAAGAAATACAGCCTCCAAGAAATATGAGACTTCGTAAAAAGACCAAACCTGGCCAGGCGTGGCATCTCAAGCCTGTAATCCCAGCACTTTGGGAGGCCGAGGCAGGTGGATCACGAGGTCGGGAGATCAAGACCATCCTGGTCAACATGGTGAAACCCTGTCTTTACTAAAAATACAAAAAATTAGCTGGGCATCGTGGTACATGCCTGTAATCCCAGCTACTCAGGAGGCTGAGGCAGGAGAATTGCCTGAAACCAGGAGGCGGAGGTTGCAGTGAGCTGAGATCGCGCCATTGCACTCCAGCCTGGGTAACAAGAGCGAAACTCCGTCTCAAAAAAAAAAAAAAAGACCAAACCTACAATTGATTGGATTATCAGAAGGAGATAGGGAGAATGGAAACAAGCTGGAAAACACACATCCAAATATTATCCAGGAAAACTTTCCCAACTTAGCAAGACAAGCCAACATTCAAATTCAGGAAATACAGAGAACACCATTAAGATACTCCACAAGAAAATCAACCCCAAGACACATAATCACCATATTCTCCAAGGTCAAAATGAAGGAAAAACACACAGGCTCAAAGTAAAGGGATGGAGGAAAATTTTCCAAGCGAACGAAAAGCAAAAAAAAACTGGGTTTGCAATCTTAGTCTCTGACAAAATGGACTTTAAACCAACAAAGGTCAAAAAAGACAAAGAAAGGCTTTACATAATCATAAAGGGAACCATTAAACAAGAGATAACTATTCTAAATACATATATGCACCCAGTACAGGAGCCCCTAGATTCATAAAACAAGTTCTTAGAGACCTACAAAGAGACTTAGACTCCCACACAATAATAGTGGGAGACTTTAACATCCCACTGTTGGTATTCAACAGATCAATAAGACAGAAAATTAAAAACGATATCTAGTACTTGAACTCAGCTCTGGATCAAGTGGACCTAGTAGACGTCTATAGAACTCTCTACCCCAAATCAACAGAATATACATTCTGCTTAGTGTCACATGGCACTTATCCTAAAATTGGCCACATAATTGGAAGTAAAACACTCCTCAGCAAATGAGAAAGAGCTGAAATCATAGCAGTCTCTCAGACCACAGTGCAATTAAATTAGAACTCAGGATTAAGAAACTTACTCAAAACCACACAATTTCATGGAAATTGAACAACCAGCTCCTGAGTGTCTCCTGGGAAAATAGTGAAATTAAGGCAGAAATCAGAAAGTTCTTTGAAACCACTGAGAACAAAGAGAAAATGTACCAGAATCTCCGGGACATGGCTAAAGCAGTGTTAAGAGGGAAATTTATAGCACTAAACGTCCACATCAGAAAGCTGGAAAGAGCCTAAATTGGCACTCTAACATCACAACTGAAAGAACTAGAGAGGCAACATAGGCATAGGCAAGGACTTCATGACTAAAACACCAAACGCAATGGCAGCAAAAGCCAAAATAGACAAATGGGACCTAATTAAACTTAAGAGTTTCTGTACATCAAAAGAAACAATCATTAGAGTGAACCAGCAACCAACAAAATGGGGGAAAACATCTTTGCAATCTACCCATCTGACAAAGGCCGAATATCCAGAATCTACAAAGAACTAAAACAGATTTACAAGAAACAAACAAACCCGTTCAAAAGTGGGCAGAGGATATAAACAGACACTTTTCAAAAGAAGACATTTATGAGGCCAACAAACACATGAAAAAGTGCTCATCATCACTGGTCATCAGAGAAATACAAATCAAAACCACAATCAGATACCATCTCACGCCAGTTAGAATGGCGATCATTAAAAAATCTGGAGACAACAGATGCTGGAGAGGATGTGAAGAAAAAGGAACACTTTTACACTATTGGTAGGAGTGTAAATTAGTTCAACCATTGTGGAAGATAGTGTGGCAATTCCTCAAGGATCTAGAAATAGAAATTCCATTTGACCCAGCAATCCCATTACTGGGTATGTACCCAAAGGACTATAAATTGTTCTATTATAAAGACACATACACACATATGTTTGTTGTGGCACTGTTTATGATATCAAAGACCTGGAACCAACCCAAATGCCCATCAATGATAGACTGGACAAAGAAAATGTGGCACATATACACCATGGAATACTATGCAGCCATAAAAAACAACTTCGTGTCCTTTGTAGAGACATGGATGAATCTAGAAACCATCATTCTCAGCAAACTGACACAAGAACACAAAACCAAACACTGCATGTTTTCATTCATAGGTGGGTGATGAACAATGAGAACACTTGGGCACAGGGAAGGGAACAACACTCACTGGGCTAGGTGACGGGGGGGTGGAGGGGAGGGGAGAGGAGAGATAGCAGGGAGGGACTGGGAGGATGGGGAGGGATAACACTGGGAGAAATGCCTGATGTAGGCAATGGGGGGGGGGTATGGAGACAGCAAACAACCATGGCGTGTGTGTACCTATGCAACAATTCTGCAGGATGCAGGACGTGCACATGTACTCCAGAGCCCAAAGTACAATAAAAAGAAAGTAAAAAAAAAAAAAAAAAAATTTAAAAAAATCAGGGGACAACAGATGCTAGCAAGGCTATGGAGAACCAGGAACACTTTTACACGGTTGGTGTGAGTGTAAATTAGTTCAACCGTGGTGGAAGACAGTGTGGCTATTCCTCAAGGATCTAGGACGAGAAATATCATTTGACCCAGCAATCCCATTACTGGGTACCTACCCAAAGGTATATAAATCAACATAAGGACACATGCACACATATGTTTACTGCAGCACTGTTCACAATAGCAAAGATACGGAACCCACGCAAATGCCCATCGATGATAGACTGGATAAAGAAAATGTGGTACACATACACCATGGAATACTATGCAGCCATAAAAAGGCATGAGATCATGAGCTTTGCAAGTCCATGGATGAAGCGGGAAGCCATTCTCCTCAACAAACTAACACAAGACCAGAAAACCAGATACCGCATGTTCTCTCATTAGTGGGAGTTGAACATTGAGAAAACATGGACACAGAGAGGGGAACAACACGCACCAGGGCCTGTTGTGGGGTTGGGGGTGAGGGGAGGGGACATAGAAGGTGGCAGCAAACCACCATGGCACACATATACCTATGTAACAAACCTGCACGTTCTGCATATGTAGCCCATTTTTGTTCTTGTTTTAGAAGAAACAAAGAAAATTGTTACTTTAATAAAAAAAAAAAAAGCCCCACCTTTCAATACTGCCACATTTGGGATTATGTTTCAATATGGGTTTTGGAGGGGCCATTCAAACCACAGCAGGGTGGAAACAGGGTGACCAATCCAAAGGTCAGTGCAATAATGTAGGCGAGCAGGGTGGTAGGTTGGCCCATAGTGGTAGCGGCAGAGGTAATAAAAGGCGATCAGCATTGGGAGAAATAGATCAGAGATACAGGCATAGATGAATAAAATCACAAGGAGATCACATTTTATTGACAACTGAGTCGCTACCTATCTATAGTTTTCTACAAACTAAAAATGGATAATATTAACTATACAAAGCCCATTAGCATTTACATAAAGTTACTTCAGCAAGTTTTGTAGGTTTCATGCTAGGTAATTTAGTGAATATGGCAAACACAATCAAAGTTATTCAGCACCATTTCAGCTAAAAGTATCAGATTTTAACACAGTTACACACACACCACCACCACCACCACCACACATAATCAAACACCAATATTTCAAACCCAAAAGATCAACAACTAATTTACAAAATAAATACTATTTTTTAAAGTAGTAGTAGGAAAGTTAGGTTAAAAAGCCATTGCTTGGAGTTTTCCAGCTTAGATCCAGGAAAAATTAACAAATTGAGACTTTTAAGAAAGACCACCATATTTTATTAAAGTTGGTTGTGACTGCCCTTCATAATTAATACTACATGCATCAGAAAAGCATAATTTCTGGCTGTCAGAACAACGACTTCCTTGCTAGTTTAAATTATAGCTATACAGCTCTGAAGAAACATTAAAAATTTGTATAAATGGGTTGAAAACATGATTTTCTATTCAAATTCAAAATGCAAACGAATACAACGTTACTTCAAATAATTAAGAAATTGTATCCAGTCGTTAGCTAAGTAATGAGGCCAAGTCATTCCCAGTAACTTCCTGTGATACCAAAGGGAATGCATTTTATCTCTAATGAAACACAGCTGGGTCTGTCATGAAATAGCAATGTGAAGGTGAGCCCTTTGGCTTCCAAGGGATTTTATTTCTTCTGCTACAGAATTGAAGGACTTTGTTTAAGGTGTCTTACAAAGAATTCCTGCTTTGCAAAGACATGTTGGGTGGAGTAAGAAGTAAACTTTTTAAAAGGCATTTGGACTTTTTTCTAACTGTACAATACCATAATTCAGAACTATTCCACACTGTCGTTCTGGAAAAATTTTGCTCATAGAATGCAAATATAATGACTGATATTAAAGAGTCTGCAAATGAAGCATTGAACAATAAAAAAAATGTGGTTTAAAAATCTTTAAAGTATCTGTAACATTTGTGTTAAAAATGATGCACCACTACCAGTTAGAATATCCCACCTTTGAATTTTAAGAGCTAAGAATCTGAGCAGGGGAAAAATGACGAGGAGATTGCATCATTCAAGTCATTCTTCTAACTGCATTCAGCGACACCAATTGAAGAATAAACACCTTGAAATACTACTAAGAAAGCAAAGAAAGATTATTCCTTCCATCAAACACCATACGAAAACCACATTATCTACACACACACACACACACACACACACAGAGAGAGAGAGAGAGAGAGAGAGAGAGAGAGAGAGAAAGAGAGAGAGAGAGAAAGAGAGTCATGAATGAATCAAACCGAATAAAAAAGACCATCATGACTAAAAACGCTCTATGACCCAGCATGTTTTCTGTGTTCCAATGATGCATGTACATTCTGCTCTGTTCTAATTGGTTCTTTTCTCTCCATCACAAGCACCGCTTTGTGGGTTTCTAGTTGAAGGTGGTTCCAGGTATTTTACAAATCCTACTTGCTTCAGAGGTACAAGGAACATCATTCCAGGCCCATTTATCTTGTTTATAAACAAGAACAACACAGTTTTCTCCCTGATTGTTGTTGGGTTCGTTCTCATGCCAGAATCTGAAAGAAAAACAACATAGAGAGATATCTATGTATATATAGATAATGTAGATTATAGATGTAGATTAGATATAGATATATTAGGAGACAATTCAGAGAAATGTCCCTAGTGAACAGTTTAGACCTGCACTAACACTACAGTCACTAGACACCTGTAGCTACTGAGCACCTGAAATTTTGCTTCTCTGAATTGAAATGTGCTTTAAGTCTTAAGGGCACACTGTATTTTGAAGAGTTAGTACCAATAAAGAATGTCAAACATCTCAGTAATAATTATATATTGATTTCATGTTGAGATGGTAAGATTTGGATATACTGGGTTACATACATCATTAATACATTAATAAAATACATTTTACTTGCTTCTTTTTACTTTCTCAATATGGCTACCAAAAAATTTTAAATTGCACATGTGGTTTTTCATTATATTTTTACTAAACAATATTGGCTTCAAGAAAAAAAGCTGACAAGATTTTAATTCTAATTCAAAGACAATCTTTATTGCTTATATTGTTTATTTAAATGTCAAGCCTAAAACAATTTTTATATCACTTCCACGCTATTCATTCTTTCATTATTGACATTGTACAAATAAGAATACTGACAATTTCATGGAAATCACAGAAACATTCTGGAGCTGGGACATAGCATATGGAGATTACTCAGCCTACAGTGTCTCTCCTAACATTTTTATATCAATGTACTCCACTTCAAAATGGATGTTTCTTGCTACCATCTTCTAACCTTTGCTCATAAATCCCCTTAGCCCCACTCAATATACTCACACTATGCGTGGGTTAAATGGCATCTGGTCCACCCAGCGCCACTGACCTTCGGTGTTCTCATTTCTAAGTCCAAGGAAATAGGAAAACCGTCTATCCAAAAATTGAATAATAAAGTTCTGCATAAAAATAGAAATTTTAATATATTTGCATGAGTCCGGTGATGGCTATTATGTTGGAAAAAGAGGAAAGATGTCAACTAGTTAAGTGGTTAAGCACAAAAGCTCTGGCATCAGGTAGATCTGTTTTCAAATCCTGCTTTTAGTTTAATTTCTTCAGTCTCACCAAACCCCAGTGCTTTTTATCTTCAGAAGGGACAGCTCCAAATACTTCATAGACTTACTATGAAGATTAAGTGAGGTCATACTTACAACCCTTTTAGCACAATGCTTAATAGCATTAGAAGTTTAAGGAGGTGGTGTTTTTAATATCACCCTCTTTAATTGTGTGCATATTTCATTAAATTCCATTTTATTCAGAATCACTGAACCTATAGATTGTAAAGCTATGGAAACGAACTCCTTGAGGAAACTATTCATCAAGAAAAAGTTAGGATCTGAGTCATGGTACATAAGTGGAAACATATTATACGAGGAAATAAATTTCAGGCTTTAAAGAATTTACCCTAATATTTCTTTACTTATTGTTAGACCCATTACCTTGGAACTATTTTTCCTATGCTTTATCCTGAGAAGCTAGTTCAGTCCTGATTAGCCATTCATTTATTCACCTACTAACCAAACATTTATCAAGACCTATCCAGTATGCGTCACACTGCACAGGGCATTGGAAATGCAAAGGTGAGTAGAGCCTGATTCCAGCTCTCCACATAGGAGGAGTCACTGGAAGAGATCGAGCAGTAAACACAGTTAGAGTGGAGTGGAGTAAATGCCATAATCTCATTGTGCACAAAGCCCCACAGAAGTACCCCCTACCTAGAAAAGGGAGGGGTAGAATGCAGAAGGTAGTTAGGATAGCTTTCTGGAGAAGAAAACATATGAATCTAATATAGAAAGACCAAGAGAAGTTGGCCATAAGGCGAAACATTGAAGAGGAAGAAAGGGCTTTCCAGGCAGATGGAGCAGATGAAAACAGAGGCATTGCAACAGAGAAATTCGTCTTTCTCCACGAAGAGATTCAAACCAGCAGAGAAACTGATGCGATCCTCCCAACACACCTGCTCAGCTTCCGTGCTGATGGTCATCAGATGGGCCCGCATCCCTGAACAGTTCCTTTCACTCTCAGCCCACGTCTTGTTGTCAGTAAGAGGAAAATAGCAGTTGGACTGGAAGGCTCTCCAGCCAACAGGACAACAGTTCCAGGTGCTCCCTCAGGTGAAAATTCAAACAGAAATTGGTAACGAAAGAACATTTCATCTGTAACATATTACATAACTATTCTACTACTGAATATTCAATTTATATTTGTGAGAATAATATCAACATTACCAAAATTATTCTGTCCTGCCAAAAGATCCTAAAAATTGCATTCCTAAATATCTTATAAATATAAGTATTGGAAACCACATAATGACTATGAGAAAATTATAAAACATTCTCTTAGAAAGCATGAATATTTTTCAATGTTCCCACATCTGTTGACTTTCATATTTAAAGTGTTTCCATTACAAAACTTTTGCAGGATATTTTACTTAAAGGGGGTAAAGAACCTATGAAACCTCAGGCACTCTTCCATTCTCCCAAATGAGATGACAAATTCTACAATAATACAAGAAATAAACACATGTCCGCAAAGCTATATATGCTAGGAGGAACCTGTCTTTATGATATATCTGAATCAAGGAAAAATTCAATTTGATTAATGTTACATTTTGGATGTCAAAAAGAACCCATCAATCTGTTACGCCATATTCTCCAGTTCTTAACTGATGACAGTAATGAGAAATAATTCTATCTTAATATATTGTTAGGTACTCCTATGCCAAGTTCTCCTCTTATGCTATTTTAATCCTTCCTGGTTCACTATTGACATTCCTTAAGTCAAATTATGAATTTCAATGAAAATGGAAATTAAAGGAGAAATTCTCTTATGTTCTCTACCTTCAGCACTTTTCAGCTCTGATTTCTCTTTGATGCAAGTGAGCTTTGCATGGTGCTCTAACATGTTCACTCCTGTGCCTCTCTTACAGCGTGAAAAGTTGTGATGAGTCACTGTTAAAGATAAAAGCAAGTTAGGTTCCTTTTTCTATATAAGCGCTAATTAGGGAAATAGGGGCTGACCTCCCTAACCTTTCTCATATCCTAGTAGTTAAGGCCCTCATATTCTCTTTTCTTTCTATACAGCTTGTTTGTTTCAGCTCCAGGTGAATTGGTTGAAAATAATTGTTGAAAATTAATATTTTTATTATCATATTGTCTATTTTGCACTTTATAGGAGTTTTGCAAACTCTTATGTGCACATGCTCGTAAGCATGTTTTTCTATCAAAATATGTGTTAGAGTAGAGGCTTTCGGTGAGCACTGGGTTGTATGAGTCATATGCATTTCTAAAATGCTTTCACCTTGAAATATAAACAAATGTAAAAAAGCGGAAAATAGTTTAGCAAATTATTGTAAGGTGAACACTCCAGGTAACAACTAACCTCAAGAAAACTAAGCTCAGCTAAAGAAACAGAGTACTGCCAAAACCCCAGGTAGCCTTTGCATCTCAAACGCAACTCACTCCCTCTCCTTGAAAGGTAACCATTGTGCTCTGCTTCACAATTTTATCACGTACTAACATGTCCCGGACCTACAGATCAGATCTGCCTGTTTTTGAATGGCAATCATACAGTATATATTCTGATTCTGTTTTCTGTTTAGCATTGTTTCTGAAATGTATCTATTTTGTTACGTGCCAGCTATAATTCATCTGTTTTCATTGCAATAAGTGAACTATTGTCTTCACGAAATGAAATATATTTATCTATTCTACTCCTATTAGATGTTTGCATTTTTTCCAGTGTTTGGCTACTGTGAATTATGCTTCTTCCAAGCATTTTTGACCATGCATTGTGAGGCGCGTAAGCATGCATTTCTGTAGGGCATATATGTAGGAGTGGAAGTGCAGGCAATAGGGTATAAAGATTGTAAACTATGACAGTGGCCAACTTTTCCAAACTGGTTGTAATGCTTAAACTCCACAAGAAGCAATTCATTAGAGGTCCATTTGCCCCATGGCATCATCAATATTTGGTAGTGCCAGACTTTTTAATTGTTGCCATCCTGTTATGTGTGCAAAGGTATCTTATCGTGAGTTGCATTTGCATTTCCCTGATAATTAATGAGCCTGATACTTTTGTGTGTTTTTTAGACATTTCATTTTCTTTTTTTTAGTACCTATTTAAGACTTTGCCCACTGCTTTTATTGTAAATATTTTTCCTATTGGTTTGAAAAAAATGTTATATAATTTGCATGTGAATTATTTACTAATAATATACATTACAAGTATCCTCTCCTATGGCTTATTTTCACTGTTAGTAGTATGTTTTATTGTACAGTAACTCATTTTAATGGAGTATAATTTGTCAATGTTTATTTTCTAGTGCATTTTGTGACTTAAGAAATTGTTCTCACCGGGCGCGGTGGCTCACGCCTGTAATCCCAGCACTTTGGGAGGCCAAGGCGGGTTGATCACGAGGTCAAGAGATCAAGACCATCCTGGTCAACATGGTGAAACCCCGTCTCTACCAAAAATACAAAACATTAGCTGGGCATGGTGGCGCGTGCCTGTAATTCCAGCTACTCAGGAGGCTGAGGCAGGAGAATTGCCTGAACCCAGGAGGCGGAGGTTGCGGTGAGCCAAGATTGCGCCATTGCACTCCAGCCTGGGTAACAAGAGTGAAACTCCATCTCACACACACACAAAAAAGAATGGCTTCCAATGGCTTTAATGATGGTGATGGTTTCAAGGCTGTATACTTATCTCCCAAATTGAGATGTGTACATTAAGTATGTGCAGGTTTTTATATGTCAATTTTATATCAATAAAGAGGTCAAAAGAAAGAGAGAGAGGTAGAGAAAGAGAAAGAGAGAGAGAGAACAATTCTTCCAACATTGTTCTTTTCAAAGCCAGTCTATCTGAAAGTTATTTTTCTGCTGCTTACTCTTTAATCATAAGATATATCCCTTTGTAATCCCGTCCAAAATGAGCAGAAATTTACTATAGTAACCACCTTTTACATGTACAGAAAACGATTTAAATTCCATCTGTCATTCTCTATCACAAGGTACCACCATCAAAAGACAGAAGGTGAACAATGTAGCTCTGAATATTGAACACAAGACTCTGAAGATATTATAGACAGGATATATTAAGAAAAATCAAGATAGCAAAAGGCTTAGAGCAACTTCAGAAAAGATGTTTGGAAAAAATAATTCAAGAAATGTTCTACTTTGGCTAATAACTTACCCAAACAACTGGCAATAAAACAGGAACCGAGAAGTAAGATGAAAACTATAGCAATAACCCAAGGAATCAGCTGGAAATGCATGCCTCCTTCCATTAGGACTAAAAGAAAAATAGAGATTAACCTCCTCTCAAAGACAAGCTAGGGAAGCTAATCCTACCAAGGAGCAATGTAAAAATGAAAGCAAACAACATATTTTAGATCTAGAGAAAGCATAAATATTTTCTCCAAATAAATCGATTTTTAGAGCTTATTGAATAAATAAGAAAGAAAAATGTAAGTTTTTTGGTAATTTTGGAACAAAAAGAATTTTATAAGTAAGATACAAAATCCAAAAGCCACTAAAATTGATAATTTGGGTACATAAAAATTAAAACTTCTTTTTTTTTTTTTTTTTTTTTTTGAGACGGAGTTTCGCTCTTGTTACCTAGGCTGGAGTGCAATGGCGCGATCTCGGCTCACCGCAACTTCCGCCTCCTGGATTCAAGCAATTCTCCTGCCTCAGCCTCCTGAGTAGCTGGGATTACAGGCACGCGCCACCATGCCCAGCTAATTTTTTGTATTTTTAGTAGAGACGGGGTTTCACCATGTTGACCAGGATGGTCTCGATCTCTCGACCTCGTGATCCACCCACCTCGGCCTCCCAAAGTGCTGGGATTACAGGCTCGAGCCACCGCGCCCGGCAAAAATTAAAACTTCTATATAACACAAACAATATTAAAGGTAAGGAACATATGAAAGAAAAGTCTTGTCGTAGTATTAATATCCAGACCGTATAAAGAATTTCAGAATCAACTAGAAAACTAAGCAAAACTTTGAGCAGGAAATTTGCTGAAATTTTAATTTGCTCAAGTTATAAAAACACTAATCAAACAAAAATATGCCCAATCATGGAACTGTAAACTAAAAGATTGTGGTATAACTTTTCACATATCAGATTTTTTAAGTAAATTAAATACATGCAGTGTTGGCGAGGCTGAGGGGAAATAAACACCCTTGGTGAGAAAATAAATGCTGCTGCCTGGACTCTAAAATTAGGAACGGCTTTTAGAAGGATCAATTTAGTAGCATTTATCCATTTTGAAATGTATTACATTTGCCACAATAATTTCAATTATAGGTATCTATCCTATAGAAATAATCAAACTTATTTATGTTAAAAGATATTCATTGCAGTACTTTTCAAAATATAAAAAACATACTGGAATCTAATATTTACATTTGTCTCATCAATAGTGGAAATTCTAAATTACGGTCACTTCACACAATGACATTCTATATAGTAATTAAATAAGCCTGTAATCAGTATATGTTGATGCAAAAAATCTCCAAGAAATAGTGTTACCTAAAAAGGTAGTTTTAGGACCTTTGTAAAGTGTGATCCTAATGAAGTCTGCCATGGGAGGGTGATGAGATAAAGTTAAACTTTACTTTTAATTTATACATTTCTGCATTTGTTCTATATATCGATCAAAAACATTATTCAGTATTATCACAATACAAAGCCACCGGTGTCACTTAAGACAGACATAAAATGGGACAATCAGAGCCTCTCATACACCGTAAGCGTAAGTGTGTTTTCTACATCTTCCTTTTCTCTTTTGCCTTTAAAAGAATCTTCTCATATTACCCTCTTTCTTTTCCTCTCATTTCTCTTTTATATATTTTATCTCCCCTCTTGATCCAGTCTACATTGTATAAAGAAGTTATTTGACTGCATGTCCTTCCTCTTCATCAACATCACTTTTATGTCCTTCCACCTCCTCCTCCCCATCCTCATCAACAATCTTTAAAACTACCATCCATTCACATCTTTCAAATTTAGTTATATTTCCATCTGCTTCTTTGAAATTGAAAGGAAAGAAAGTACTCACGTTTACTTTGAGGCTTTTCTAGTCCCATTGTATAATTAGTCTCTTGTTGTTCAATGGTGAGGAGGGCAAGAACTTTCTCTATTTTCCCCCCAGAGTATATTCCTGTGAATAGAGGAATATATTCAGAAATACTTGAGACTGAACACCAATGTTACATATTCTAGTGAGATTAGAAGTTTCCCAATATAAGAAAGTTAACTCAAAAGAAGAAGTCTTTTTCAAAGACTGGGGTTTCCTTTGATTTATTCTGAGAGATGAGGTAAAAAGGAAAAAAAGGAAATTGAGAAAGCAATGCGCCAAAACAGTACAATCGTTAGTAGAAACCCATAAGTATGTTGAGATCACTAGATCCGTGTGTAATGTGGAATTTTCCATTTGTTTCTTTTCTTTCATTTAGACAAAACATTTAGCAATGCCTTAAAAGAAATAATGGTCATGCCCCAATAAAAAGCTAAAACAGTTGAATAGGAACAGCTCCGGTCTGCAGTTCCCAGCAAGAGTGCACCAGAAGATGAGTGATCTCCAGATCTACCTGGTGATAGAGCTACCAGGTTCATCTCATTGGGACTGGTTAGACTGTGGCAACAGCCCAAGGTGGGCAAGCCAAAGCAGGGCGGGGCATAGCCTCACCCAGGATGTGCAAGCGGCCAGAGAACTCTCTCTCCCAACCAAGGGAAACCATTAGGGGCTTTTCTGGACACTGGTTCAGACACTAAATTTTCCCGTGGTTTACAGAACCCACAGACCAGGAGACTCCATCTGGCGCCTACAACGCCAGCACCTGAGTTTCCAGCACAAAACTGGGTGGCAGTTTTAGTCAAGTGGCACCTGGAATACCAGCGAGACAGAACCACCCAATCCCCTGAAAAAGGGGACTGAGACCGGCAAACTAAAATCCACTGGCTTAAAATTCTCACAAGCACAGCAGTCTGAGCTCAACCTGGGAAGTTAGAGCTTGGTAGGGGGAGGGGCATCCACCATGACTGAGGCTTCCTAAGGGGTTTCAACATTGCCTGTGTAAACAAAGCCACCGGTAAGTTTACACAGCAGCTGGGCAGAGCCCAGAAAGCGGTTTCAACATTGACTGTTTTAACAAAGCTGCTGGGAAGTTTACAAAGCAGCTGGGCGGAGACCTCTGCAGGCAGACGGTCAAGTAGATTCCCTTCTTGCTGGGCAAGGCATCCCAGAAAAAAAGAAGAAAGACAGCAGGCCATCAGGGATTTAAAAAGCCCCCACTTTCCTGGGACAGAGCATCTGGGAAAAGGGGCGGTTATGAATTCTGCTTCAGCAGACTTAAACGTCCCTGCGTGGCAGCCCTGAAGGAAGCAAGGATCCCCCAGCGCAGTGCTTGAGGGACGGGCTGCCTCCTCAAGTGGCTCCCTGACCCCCTCCCCCACCCCGTGTATCCTAACTGGGAGACGTGTCATACAGAAGAGCTCTGGCAGATATCTGACAGGTTCCCTTTTTGGGACACAGCTACCAGAGGAAGGAACAGGCAGCAATCTTTGCTGTTCCGCAGCCCCTGCAGGTGATTCCCAGACAAGCAGGGTCTGGAGTGGACCTCCAGCAAACTCCAGCAGACCTGCAGCAGAGGGGTCTAACTGTTAAAAAGAAAATTAACAAACAGAAAGAAATAATTTGAACATCAACAGAAAAGATGTCCACTCAGAAACTCCATCCAAAAGTCACTAGCTTCAAAGACCAAAGGTAGATAAGTCCATGAAGATGGGAAGGAATCAGCACAAAAAGGCTGAAATTACCAAAAGCCAAAACACCTCTTCTCCTCCAAGGGATCACAACCCCTCACCAGCAAGGGAACAAAACTGTGACAAATTGACAGAAGTAGGCTTCAGAAAGTGGGTAATCACAAACTTCTCCAAGCCAAAGGAGCATGTTTTAACTCAATTCAAGGAAACTAGGAACCTTGAAAAAAAGGTTACACAAAATGCTGACTAGAATAACCAGCTTATAGAAGAACATAAATGACTTGATGGAGCTGAAAAACACAGCACAAGATCTCCGTGAAGCATACACAAGTTTCAATAGCTGAATCAAACAGAAGAAAGGATATCAGATATTGAAGATCAACTCAATGAAATAAAGCAAGAAGGCAAGAGTAGAGAAAACAAGAGTAAAAAGAAAATGAACAAAGCCTTCAAGAAATATGGGATTATGTGAGGAGATCAAATCTACGCTTGACTGGTGTCTCTGAAAGTGACAGGGATAACAAAACCAAGTTAGAAAACACTCTTCAGGATATTATCCAGGAGAACTCCAACCTAGCAAGGCAGAACAACATTCAAATCCAGGAAATACAGAGAACACCACAAAGATATTCTTCAAGAAGAGCAACCCCCAAGGCATATAATCGTCAGATTCACCAGGGTTAAAATGAAGGGAAAAATGCTAAGCGCAGCCAGAGAGAAAGGTCATGTGGCCCACGAAGGGAAGCCCATCAGACTCACAGCAGATCTCTTGGCAGAAATCCTACAAGCCAGAAGAGAGTGGGGGCCAATATCCAACATCCTTAAAGAAAAGAACTTTCAACCCAGAATTTCATATCAGCCAAACTAAGCTTCCTAAGTGAAGGAGAAATAAAATCCTTTATGGACAAGCAACTGTTGAGAGATTTCATCACCACCAGGCCTGACTTACAAGAGCTCCTGAAGGAAGCACTAAGCATGAAAAGGAACAACCAGTACCAGCCACTACAAAAACATACCAAACTGTAAAGACCATCAATATTATGAAGAAACTGCATCAACTAATGGGCAAAACAACCAGCTAGCATCCAAATGGAAAGGTCAAATTCACATATAACAATATTAACTTTAAATGTAAATGGGATAAATGCCCCAATCAAAAGACACAGAATGGCAAATTTGATTAAAAAAAAAGTCAAGACCCATTGATGTGCTGTGTTCAAGAAACCCATCTCACTTGCAAAGACACACATAGGCTCAAAATAAAGTGATAGAGAAACATTTACCAAGCAAATGGAGATCAAAAAAAGGCAGGGGTTGCAATCCTAGCCTCTGACAAAATGGACTTTATACCAAAAAAGATCAAAAAAGACAAAGAAGGGTATTACATAATGGTAAAGTGATCAATGCAACTAGAAGAGATAATTATCCTAGACATAGATGCACGCAATACAGGAGCAGCCAGATTCCTAAAGCAAGTTCTTAATGACCTACAAAGAGACTTAGA